TCTGATTTTTTATCATTTTGTGTAACATATTAATAATCTCACTATGGGACGTTTTGACTGACGGCACCCCATATTATACACTGGTGATGATCACCAATAAAAATTGTGTAATTTATTTTATACCTACAATGAATTCTTAATGCGTCGTTCGCGGTAGCTACCTCGGGAGTAAGTCGGATGTATAGGGTGGGAACGGCCTGATGGCTGCATACTGCGTCTGTAAAGCTGTAGTTGGAATCTCCAGTGTATTCGGACATTCTTTTCGAGTACCATAGTAGAAAAACACCCGCATCGCCAATAATCAAGGGGACAGTCACATGATTTCTCATTCATTTAGTTTTCAATTATTATTTATCTGTACAGTCAACTCTGAATATAACGAATTTTTTTTATAACTTTTTATAACAAACTTTTTCAACGAACTTGAACTTTTGCATCGAAATCTTTTGACCTTTTTTGTAACTAACTTTTTCAACAAACTCTTTTTAACGAACTTTTTCAACGAATTTTTTTTATATTGAATTTTTTTAACAAATTTTATAATAAATTTTTTTATATCGAATTTTTTAAAGCTATTATAGGATTTAATGAAAACTTTTAAAAATATTTATTATATGTAAGAACAATCAGTTCACTATAAAGAGAGTTGAACTAAATTAGATTCAAACTTTAAGAAAAAACGTGATATAACTATAGCTTTTTTTTCAAAAGTGAATATATACTTTTACTGACCTTTGTCTTGCAAAAATTTAGTACATGGTTCACTATCGCTATTACTTAATTGATATTGTTTGTTGATATGTATTAATTTTATGTTCCCTGCTTTAGAATTTATTTATTTATTGTTTGATATTCCTTTTATCACTACCTACACTTTAAAAATGTATTGCGATACCATTCGAAATTTATATCCATTTTACTGTTTGCTATAATTCGGCAGTCAAATTTGTTTTTTCAATATTCGTCATAACTAGTAACCGTTTCCATTTTTTAAAAAAAAGAAAAAAAAATTGGGAAATTTTCTCAAAAAACTTGAAGACTCTCCAGAGGGTTTTAGGTCAGAATATAAAAAAAAGGGGACTGTTAATGCCACCCCTATATAACCTAACCAGTCTGTAAGCATTGTTCATAGAGTTTCCGTAAGGGTTAAAGGCCAATCAGAATTATGTACAACGACCCACTTTTACTTATAATTATCATCTTTTTCATCCAACGGTGGTTATCCGACCCGGAAATTTGGGGATCCTCCTGTAAAAATTTTCTCGTTTTCCTAGCCTTGGTCAACTCATGCAGGGAGGTCCCCAGATTGCTGTGTCGGAATACCTCGAAATCATGATCGGAAGGGCCGGAATTTGCCCACTTATTATGTAAAGCTGCCCGGCTGATGATTTTGCCCCAGAAATGGTTGCTAAATGCCGGCCTAAATCCAATAGATCCGACCCGATCCTCCCGTAAAATTGCATCCGTCTGATTAATTGTCGATCCTTGGCTACTTATAGTAGACGCCTCATACCATATCGTTGTACTTCGTTTTAAAACTTTCGCACACTATATACAACTTCTGTATTTATATAAATGCATCTGCGCTTCCTTTATCTTGTAGTTTTCATAAAGTTATAGCGACATCGTTGATAATATACATTTATTATTTGCTCCTTCAGTCATGTCGATAAAAAATGATCAACTACTGGCATTTGGTTCAAACGGACATGGTCAACTTGGCATTGGCACAAACATTGATGTAAATGTTCCAACAGAATGTTTATTTTTTTCATTAAGCCAGGTCAAAGACTCAATTTCGAATAATGAGTTTTCACCTGTAGTTATTAGTGGCGGAGGAAATCATTCTGCCTTTATAACTCACGACGGGGAATTATGGACGAGTGGATTAAATAGTGATGGTCAATGTGGCTCACTAAATTCTAATATTGTCACAACCAATACCCAAGAGCAAACTTCATTATCAACTATCTACCATAAAGTAATATTAAAGGATCCAGAGAGCAAAATGGAAATTAAATGGAAATACGTTGCATGTGGATGGGCTTTCACAGTTGCTATTACACAAAAACATGGATTAGTTTGTACGTTCGGAAAAGGATTACATGGAGAGTTAGGATGCGGTAATTTGATAAAATCATCAAATAATCAAATATTACAAATAGAAAATTTGCAAGAATTCAAAAAAGTTGATTGTGGATTGCGACATTGTATTGGATTAACTAATGATGGAATCTGTTTTGGATGGGGAAGTAATAAACATGGGCAATTAGGGCCTTCACAAAAAGATCCAGAGCATTATAATGCAAAAGAATTAGTGCAAGAAAAATTAAATATAAGTGAATCATCGGAAAAAATTAAGAAAGCTAAAAAAGACGAATGTTACTTTAAACCTATCAAAATCTTAATTGGAATTAAAGAAAAAATTGAAGATATTGCATGTGGACAACATCATACACTTATTTTAACCTGTACGGGACAAGTATATACGTTTGGTCTCAATAAGTATGGTCAACTAGGATATGCCTCACCATTAAAAATTCAAAATTGTATGTTTCCGAAACAGGTAACAAATCTTCCTAGCAAGGTTACTAGAATATCATGTGGTTGGAATACTTCTATGGTTCTTTGTGATAATGATAAAGTTTTAATGTGGGGTAGAAATGATCATGGACAATTAGGAAAAGTGAATGCAGAAGTAAATTATCAAAATGAGAATAAAGAAATTAAAGAAAATGAAAATGGCTATATTCATAATCCTGTTCCATTATATTATCTTCCACAATCTGTTTTATTTTCTAAATCTTTGGAAATTCGAAGTTGTGCTTGCGGGTCAGAACATTCTTTGGTTATATCGACATCTAATGAGTGTTTTTCTTGGGGATGGAACGAACATGGAAATTGTGGAATAGGTAATAATATTGATCAATGGACACCAGTAAAAATAAATATATCAAATAAGAATATAATCGTTAAAAAACTCGGTACTGGCTGTGGAAGTTCTTGGATTTGGATAAATAGTGTAATTAATTAAATGTTAAAGCTATATAAATATTTAAAGATTGTATTTTAACAATTAATTATTCGTGAGTAATTATACAGTAGCATTCTTTTTAAATTATAGAAGCAATCACACCGGGTTAATAACCGTCAATAGTGATAAATATTCAAATATATTCATGCAAAGAAATCTTTTGCGAGATTAGATATTAATACATCAACTCCTGTGTAATTAAAATTTTATTACTTGTGCTGCCTTATATTTTGATTGAAAATCATTATTTCATGGTCAAGATTCTGAACAAGTTACAAGCATAATGCATATACCAAAATTGACAACAAATAAATTTAATTGGATTTTTGAACATTTTGACTATATTCAGTTTGTCCAAATATAATTAAATAATTCAAAAAAAAACTATAACTGACAAAATTAATTGGCAAATGTCCAATTCTTTTATTAGATTTAATAATATTGGTCCCAACTTCCGTTTCTCAAGCTGCCATTTTTTTCCCGGAATTCACATTCCAATACATACCGCACGTTATTTCGGAATAAATGAAATTAAATAGTGAAGATTCATGAATATAGCTAGCTTACTTATTTAGATATTCATGAACTCAAATAGCTTACTTTAAATGTTTAGACTAATAAATGTTGGACCCCTAATACATCTATCTGGCTCGTATAACGATAATCACTAGTTATATTAGAATGCGCATTAATTCAAGACGCTCATGGACATGATTCTTAAACTAACTCCCATGAGCGTTATTTCGCGCCTATACGGTATGTATAATATACTTATAAAGGATCTATTATAAATATTTACTTCCATACATTCATATTATAAATACACACTTTATCTACCGTATTTCGCGTAATAACGCCCATGAATTAAGCTTAATTTAGACAAAATTCCCCTGCATGTTTTACGCGAAAATACGGTATTAATATGATTCTACAAAATAATTTTTTTTTTATATCATACTTTTTTATAATCGCCAGGTTTGTATAAAATAAACCGGGTGATTATGTAGAAAAATTACTATATGTAATTAAAAATTATCTATCACTGGAAAATCTTTAAAATAAAGTACACGGTTATTAAATAGTTTTTTTAAAAAAATAATACTTAGAATGCTGAAATAACAGCGAAAAAAAAGAGAGAGAAAAACCTTCAAATCATCGATAATATCGACTTCATTAAGTCCTTTTGGTCCAATTCTACCATATATCAAATCGCTCATGTCCTTTGATTTAGAAAAATTATTATCGAATCAAATATCTCCATAAACATTCACTGAGGATTACAAAATACTTTTGAATATCCTAGAACAAATCATTACATTCCATTTCCATAACATTAATCTCATCTGTCATTGTTTTTCTGCAATCGATTATGTTTCAATTGTTTGATTTAATGTCAACCGATCACTTGACTAGTTAATAAGTTAAAAAAAATTTTTTTCAATTATGAATTCATTTCATTGGTTGGTTGTCATACCTCATCTAATGTTTCATCTTGATTCATATCAATATCCATCATATCCTTGTCTTGACAAGTACGAACTTTCCAAAGGTCAAGTTTTCTATATTCTTCTATCGTATTTTGATGAACTAATTCCCTCATTGCACTTCTCTCAGTCTGATGCTCTTTATATAATGTTTTAATATGTTTATTGTTTCTAATAAGGTTATTTTTCTTATGACGTGTCCTGACAAAAAAACAGTAATCTTCACCTATAAGAATAACTCATACAGGGGGATCCCCAAAATTCCGGGTCGGAATACTTCGGAATCATGATCGGCAGGGCCGGAATTAACTAA